AGGCACCTGTTTCCAGCACTTCAGCAGGTAAAACTCCTCTCTCCTTGAGGGAACAAGTTTTTTTTATCTCTAAAAACCCTGGTCATATATGTTGTTTGCAGATTGTCACCCTCAGGAACCGGATTGATCAGGCCCAGAAGCAGTAAGTACTTATATCCCCTTCCTAGCTTCTGGATTGGGGATATCTTCTCAGTGTTCAAATTAGTCACTTCAGCCTCAACAACCGACATTTTCTTGTTGCAATGGAATGAGGCTAGAGATGGAAGGGCAACTCCCATCCTGCCTCACATTGAGAAAATGAAGGGGAAACTGAAGTGAATGTAACAACACCTAACAACAAAAAAACCTCATGTTTTTTCACACTCTGACTTCAAAATTTTCATCTGCTTATTGTTGTATTTTTCAAACACCTGTCTGAGGTGCTTTGAATACTTGAGGGAATACAACCCTTGTTTACAAAGCGTAAACAAGTGGTTGCTAAGATTACAAGGAATGGTGTGTAACAAGACTAACATGATGGGATTACTGTAGTGAGTTCTTTTCACTCATCATCCCTCTCCTACTTTCCTTCACTGCTTTTTTTTGAGTCTTATATCTTTAACTATTCTAGGTATTTTTAATGAACTTATGAGATACCATGTGTAGACAAAGCCTGGGGGCTAGGACATGGAAAACTGACAGCCACAGAGAAGTAACTGCAGGGAAACAAAAGAGGAGAGCTCTCCGGTGGTGGGATTTGATCTTCTCTGTGCTTCTGCATCTTAGCAAAGTCATGCCAGGAATGAAGCAGTGGTCTTTGGTGACATCTTTAGATGATAGGAGTGACCAGACACTACCTTCCCACTTCCCAAAGGCGCCCTGCATTAACAGATAAATGTAACTCTGGGGGCTTGGTTATCTGTAGATGCCAAATGTAACACTTGACCTTCACGTGGTATTTTCTGTACAGAGCTGTAGGTTGATAAACCTCAGCAGAATGTGCAGCTGCAGAAGAGTACCCTAGTTTGGCTCGACATTGCTGCTCTTGAGAGGCACTATCACACCACCCACAACAGACTACTGCATGCCTGCTCCCCCAAAAGACATGATGCTCTCTCAGGACATCATTTGAAAAGGTTGCACTGAGAAGTCCACAGCTTACGAGATTTCGGTGTGCTTAAATTTCTATCCACACTAGACACCATCATTCCAAAGCATTGCCTGCTAATGTGTTATATAAAGACTAAGTGAGTTTTTTGCTTCAGACATTATTAAGGCTCCTTAAGCACAGTCTAAAGGTTAGGCATAACATCACTTGTGGAGATAAAAGGACTCTGCCTTTGTTTGAGGAGCTATGCAGTTACTATACTGGGTTTTGAGCCTTCAGAAAGGCTGGCAAAAGGGACATCGAGATCATTTTAAGATAAGCAGAGAAAGCATGCTCTCTCTCACATTAAAGCTAAATTTTTTCAACTAGACCAAGCCTAACTTGGTCAAAAGGTAAAGTATACACATGTGTATGTCTCTGTCACTGTGCTACATCCTTCCATAAATCTGGCTCGTGCTCTTGAACCAATCCATGGGGCAGCACAAGAAAAATGTCCCCAGATGTGAGATACCCCTGCTTTTCTTCTCACAGAGGAACTGTTGGTTCTGAAGAAGGCCTCCCTGTTGATAGCAAGGCCCCACCACCTTGTGCTTGGCCCTCAACCTCATGCTCTTCTGATCAAAGAGCTTCCCCCAGTTTGCATGTGCTTTGGTTCAAGAAGCAGCCTCATCAGTGTGTGTGTGAGATGAAAAAGTTTGGGGGTGTGCCAAGCCCCATAAGGCACAGTGCTGCTGATGGGAACTAGCGCAGAATCTAACTCAACTAACTTCACACCTCGCCCCAGGCTGACTCCAGGTGTGTCTGCTTCTCAGTCAGAAGGTAAGTGGCTTGCATGTAGGATTGCTCTTCTGTGTGCAAGAAGATACTCTTAAAGAGGATTTGCCTCAGGTGGTTTGACTGGGGAGTTTAGCTGGACTGCTCCCACGCACTATGAGCAAGATAGGGATACTGATATGAGAGGAGGCCTAAAAGGTTGGTTGGATTTCTTTGGAGGCTCTTGCTCTCATGATATAAGTAAGAAGCCACTCCACCTTTGCTAAAGCAAAGCAGTTCTTAGTTGTATTTAAATTAGTGCTTAGCTTTTTGCCTCTACTACTAGATGATTAAAGCATCTGGGGAATTTGATCAGAGCTCTTTGATACTGAGGAAATTTTTCCAAAAAGAGTTCTAAATCCTAAAATTCAAATCATAGCAGATTTGCATTCAGAAAACATCAAGTCTGTGGTTGGACAGGCCTGTCATTTAGTTTGGAGACCACCTGGATTTCTGCCCTGATAATGCAGGAAATCTGAAAGGGTCCACCCCTTTCAGGCATGCACATCCTGGTCTTTCACTCAGAGCCCCAGGGGGAATCTCTTTCCACAGTATTTACAATATTTTGCTTAGGATGTGGTCTATGACAGGTGTGCCCAACATGTTAGAAGTGAAAGCAGCTCAAACCTAATCTATGAGTCAGAAATGCAGAGTGGCCACAGAGCCCCACCACTTCCATTATACTGACATGTTTTTCTTTCCTTTTGTATTGTAGCAGCAAGAAGGCAGGAGCCAAGGGCAAGGTTGGCGGGCGCTGGAAGTAGAGAACCAGGCAGGATGGCCTTTAGTGGTGTGCTGAAACCCTGCTGGTCTCCTCTTTCTTCCTTCATTGATCACTTGTGTTCTCACGCCTCAATGATAACAAAAATTGCATCAGCCCGGATTGGCTATTGCTGCTGCTTTTCTTCTCTTTCATCCTGGAGGGGTCTGGTGGCTTCCTCAAGGGGAAGCACGTTCCCTGTGGAACTGTGATGACTCCTTGCTGGCATTTTCAATTCCTGCTGAACATGTCCCTTAACCTCCTGATACCAGCCCTATGCTCTCCTGTAGATTGCTGTGTACAAATCTCTGGATTTTGTAAATAAAGCACAACCAGTACCTACTCCAATGACAGCCCCCTGGAGTGGTGTTTCATATTTTATCTACCGCCATCCCATTTTGCAAGGATTTTGGAGTTGGTCCAAATCCTTATTTAATATCATTTGATCTCATTCTACAACTGAGAATGACACTCAGTATCTTCAACAAAGACACAGGACTACGGGCCTGTTTTACAGCGATTATACAGGCAGATATCAAAAGCTGACTCTTCTGGGGGAGCTCATAATCTGGGTGCCAAATATTGTTACAGTTGACTTAAAAGTTTGAGTGATGAAGTGAATCAGAGAATTTGGAATAAAGGAAAAAATATCTAGAAGTGGTAGTTTTCACCACATACCTTTCCACAGATGCAGATGAATCACAGTGCAAAACAGAGAATGACACATTTGAATATTAGAATATTTATTTAGCCCATTAACCTGCATACAATATTAAAGCCCAATACTGAAGTGTGAATTACTTGGTTAATTCAATGTAGACATCAAAAGTGACTCTTACCAAATTTGAGATGTGAGCAATTCTGTAGGGCCTCTTGCCTTTGCCAACCCTTGAAATGCCCTTTTGGAGGCAAGTCCATCAAGGATGGCTGTTCTCCCCCATGGTTCTTCTGTCTGTTTCTGGTACCTATGTGCATATTCTGGCTCTCTGTTGGCACATGCTGCGGTGTCATGGATTTGTAAGAGTGGTTTAAGTGAGAAGAGCCCTTAGAGATCATCTAGTTCCAAATCCCCTGACACCTTTCCCCCACCCCAGGGACACCTTTCACTAGACCAGGTTGCTCAGAGCCCCATCTAGCCTGGCCTTGAACATTTCCAGGGGACAGGGCATCCATGACTTCTCTCGGCAACCTGTTCCAGTATCTCACCACCCTCACAGTAAAGAATTGCTTACTAATATCTAATCTAAACCTGTCCTCTTTCCATTTAAAACAGTTGCCCCTTGTCCTATCATGAGAGACCTTGGTATTGTAAGCACCTCTTACATTTTGAAAGGCCATAATCGGGGCTTCCTGGAGCCTTTTCTTATCTGGGCAGCATAACCCCAGCTCTCTCTGTCTGTGGCCTCTCATGGCAGGTGTCCCAGCCCTCCCAGCATCTCCATGGTCTCCTCTGGACCTGCTGCCACAGCTCCGTGTCTGTTGTGTGGAGGGTCCCAAGGCTGGACCGCACCGCCCCTGGGGTCTCACCAGTGCAGAGGACAGGAGGAAATGGCCTGTCCACAAGATCCTCTGAAATGCAGGCAGCACTGCTAAGTCCCACAGAGACAACATTTTCACAGAATCAGAGAATTGTTAGGGTTGGAAGGGACCTTTGCACATCATCCAGTCCAACCCCCTGCCAAAGCAGGGTTCCCCAGAGCAGCTGATGCAGGAATGCATCCAGGTGGGTTTTGAGTGTCTCCAGAGAAGGAGACTCCATTATTTCCCTGGGCAGCCTGTTCCAGTGCTCTGACACCCTCGATGTAAAAAGTTCTTTCTTATGTTCAGGTGAAACTTCTTCTGTTTTAGTTCATGGCCATTGCTGCTGGTCCTGTCATGGGGCACCACCGAAAAGAGTCTGGCCCTATCCCCTTGGCACCCAACTGAGATATTTATACATTAATATGTATAAATATCTGTCTTCTCTTGAGTAAACAGGCCCATCTCCCGCAGTTTCTCCTCCTAAGAGAGACGCTCCAGGCCCGTCATCACCATTGTTGCCCTCCCCTAAACCCTCTCCAGTAGCTCCTTGTCTTTCTTGCACTGAGGAGCGCAGAACTGGACACAGTACTCCAGCTGTGGCCTCTTGCAGACACTTCTCGCCGCCTGCCCCGGCCTTGCGGCTCCTCTAGAGGACCCTCCCCTCCCCAGGGCCGTGTCCCGCTCCCCGGGGCCGTGTCCCGCTCCCCGGGGCCGTGTCCCGCTCCCCGGGGCCGTGTCCCGCTCCCCGGGGCGGAGGGTCGGGGCCGCCCCCACAGCCCTCACACGGGCCCGCCGCGCTCCTCCGCTCCAGCAGGGGGCGCCGCCGCCGGGGGCCGCTCTGGCGCCGCCGCTTCCAGCCGGGCTCGGCCATGGCGACGCGCGCCAGGAAGGCCGTGTGAGCGGGACGGGACGGGACGGGACGGGACGGGCGGCGGGGGAATGCGGGGGGATGCGGGGAATGCGGGAGACGCGGGGGACGCGGGGGACGCGGAGCCGGGCGGGGCGTGGGGCCGGTCAGTCAGGCGGTCAGTCAGCGCGGCGCCGTGTCCCCGCAGGTACCCGCTGTTCCAGAGGGGCGGCCCGCAGCTGCGGATCTTCCGCCCCAACTTCTTCATGCTGGCCGTGCGGCCCGGCGTCCCGCAGCCCGAGGACACCGTCCAGTTCCGCGTCTCCATGGAGTGAGTGCGGGCGCTGGTCCCGGCGGCGGAGGGGCGGGAGGGCGGGAGGGAAGCGGCTTCGGCCCGCGGGACACCTTGTGGAAGGCAGCAAGGGCACGCGTTTGGGCCGGGGCTTGCGTGGCTTCCCCTCACCGAGGGTTAGCGAGGCTCAGCCTTCCCGGGGACGGGCTTAGCGGAAGGAAGTGCATATGAATTTGGTCCAGAGGAAGCAAGGTGATGCCCAGGTGTTTGCCAGGACTCCTCCAACCTGACCGGTCTTGTTGCACTCAGTAGAGCCCGCAAGCCTGTGGCAGGTTCTGATAATTCCGGAAACTGCTGCTCAGAAGATAAAGGAAGGGCTCTCAGCTTGGGCAGTGAAAAAGCCTGCTGAACACAGAATATATCTGGCACTTTGACTGTTGAGGCTACAGAGAGTAAAATATTTACCAGTTGTTACAGTTTATGGGTAATGAATTGCTGTAGCAGTGTGTGATCTATGTTGAGTTTATACTTTCGTGCAATAAAGATACCCTGGTTAAAAGAAGAAGAAAGCATATTTATTCCAGAGTATCAACCAGTCTCTGGTTTATTTTTTTAAAATACTTACACTTTTTCTTCTTTCTTTCCCCAAAATGGTTTTGCATTGCCTAGAATGACAAAAGTGGATATCAGGAATTACCTTGAAAGAATATACAATGTGCCGGTAGCTGCTGTGAGGACCAGGATACAGTATGGTAAGTGCAGTTGAGTAATCCAGAGGGTTGAATACACCATCCTTGTGCAGCCAGAATGGGCTTTAGCTATCAAAAGGTCTGTTAGATTTCAGCAAACTTTGGTTCCAGGGGCTTTGCTGGTGATGTCAGTCAGCTTAGTTGTTTATTCATCCCTTCAGATGAATATGCACCACTTCATATTTGAATGTGTTGATTAAATTGTGATGTAAGTTTAAGAAAAATCTGAATTTAAAAAGCCTTATCGTCCTGACAGTTATCTAGCTTGTGTTTCTGTAGTTGGTACTATTTCTCTTTGAAGACCAGTGGGTGTCTCCCTTCAGAAGGAACTGCTTCTTGTGTTTTGATACGATTAGTAATTAAACTTAATTTCAGCCATAGCCTTTTTAAAACACTAATGTGAATTGAGATTACCTTGCATGCATACAGAGGAGGTGTTATGGTCTAACAAAAGGCAAAGTTCGTAGAGCAAAGAAAAACAGTCTGTTAGACCAGTAGATAATGGTCTAATAGGTTGTGTGTTTGCAGTGGTAAGATTAGGGATCATTTTAAAAAGAATAGGAAAAAAGAGCTGTAGTAGTAAAAAATATAAAATTAAAAAAACCACTTTAAAATTAAGATTGTAAAACTCAGAATATGTAAAAGAAGAAAGAAACCTGGAAATACCATCTGTGATATGCTTATCTGCAAACCAGAATTAAATAAAGTCTTAAATACTTAACACGTGTGGTTTCAAACAGCACTGAAAAATAGTCATGCTTGTCCTTATAACCATTGTGTCCCTCTTTGCAAATTTTAGGTCATGGTAGCATGTATGTAGTCAGGGATAAATGAGGGTTAGAAATCTAATAATTTGAGAGCTTTAATGTCTGCCTAACATGCAGGGAGTAAATTGCACTTCCCACTCAGTTGTGACCAGCATACTTGGAGAAGATTGGGGTGCTTTTGTTTGGATATGGAATATAATTCGTGTCCTGGTGTATAAACAGTAGATCCAGCACATTAGCCGGGTAGGAAAAACAGTCAAGTTTAAAACTGTCTAGTGGTAATTTTCTCCCTGTCTTCCTGAAGCTGTTGATGATGGCAGGACAGTTTATCGCTCCTAGCCCCCTACTCAGGAGACTTAGCTCCTTACTTCCTTGCAGACTTCGTGTGTGAGGTGAAGGCACAGTGGCTGTCAGCAGTCAGCAGGCTGGTGATACTTCAGTTCCCTGCTTGTAAATAAGGAGAGTAGTGCCCCTCAGTTTCAGTACACTTCACTAACTGCGATGCTGTGCTGGTACTGAAGGAAGCATATTCCTCTTAACAATAAATCAGAACTAACAAAGTCCCCCTTTCAGCCTGGCCTTGCTGTGGAGAACTCAGAAGTCCTGGGAAGTAAAAGGTGGGATTCTCTTCATTTCTACAGGTGCAAACAACAAGAGGAATCACAAGAATCAGAGAGAGAAGAAACCAGATTACAAGGTCGCCTATGTACAGCTGGTGAGTTAACATGGATGCTTGTGAGGAAAGACAGAAGGACTGTTAACCAGCCAAGCTAAAAGTAATGTCCAGTGAATTGTCCTGGTTGGCTGAATATTTCTACCAATTCTCTAAGAATGACAGTTTCTTTAATACATTCCAGAATATAAAGAGACTTAAATGACTCAGTCTGAAGATCAAAATTCAAACAAGTGGTTAGTTTTCAAGTCCCGTGTTGGTTTGAGGTCTGTGTGTTAGACTGTGGTCTGATGTCATATGGTGCTGCTTTGCCAGTGGGTTTCATGCTGACCCTGTACTCTGTGTGCTGGAAGGTTCATGACTTCTGTGGTTGATTGCTGAAATGTCCAGTAAGTGAAAGAATATATTGTGAAGGTAGGGAACTTCTTATTAAAGGTTTCAGAGAAGACTAAGGCATATTCCTTGGAGAGCCTTTAGTCATGTCTAACAAGCATGCTTTGTGGCTGAACCAGGTTCTGAAACATATGTTGGTTGCCCAGTGGAAAAGAAGCTTCATGTGCTTCTAAGTTTCTTTCACAACAGGAACATATTATAGTTTTGACTTCTCTTGGGCTTACCTGTTGTTACGCAAAAAAGAAGTGCAACCGGTGACCGAAAACCCCTTCACATACCAAAATTACATTAAAGGAATGCTATTTATGGTTGTAAAAAATTGCTGTTGGCAACACAACCTCGGTGTTACTCCATCCTGGGACAAGGATTCAGTGTTGTGGCAGTGCTGTATGATCTTAAAAGACTGCCAAAGACTTCATATGGAACTGGGGTCGAAGTCAAGAGGCACAGACAATGGGAATTCTGATTTTTTGTGTGTGTGTGTAATTTTTTAAAGTTTAAGTGTGTTTAGAAGTTTTGCTCTAAGCCCTTTCTGGGAAGGGGAGTGGAAAGAAAAGTGAGGAGACTCTTGTTTTTCTACACAGCCCTTACCTTTAAAACAATAGTGTGAAGTACAATGTTGCTAGAAAGAAACAGAGTTGTATTTAGATAAGGACTAAGGTTGATTCACTGTGCTGAAGTTAGAGGCAACCTCATCTTTGTGAGGACTTTGCAGTACAATAGCTAAAGAGCACATTCTTTTTTCAAGGAACAGTTTTTGCTTTGATGGGCAAATTCTCCCAACTGCTAGGTTTTTGTCTGCTAGAGATCAGGATTGTATGATTCATTAAGAACACAGCTGAGGAATTGAATGCCTGGAGTGCCGTTTTATCTCACAAGTTGCTTTTTCTGAGTGCTGTTCCTTAGCAGGCAATTACAGGCACTTTCCATTATCACAGCCTTCTGCTAGTGACTTCTTTGCTTTTACAAACTCATTTCTCAAAACTGAAGTAGACACGGGTCTCTAGCGAACTGTAGTCAGTTCTCAAATTTTATTTAATTGTATTTAATGCAGTCTTTTTTTCTCTTGTCTGCTGAGTTGAGAAGGAGGTAGTCTGCAGCCCATAGATACTCGGGGGGAAGGAGTGGGAAGGAGAATGCTGCTCCTCTGTGGAGCAAGACACCTGTTTAAGGCAACACCTCTGTGCATTTCTTTCACATCAAACCTCTTGACCTAGGATAGTTGCCATTACCTTAAGGGTAGCTTGGCAGAGGAGTGGAGATTTACCCAAACTAGTTTGGTGCTGAAGGCAGGTGCACAGCAAGATCTCTGGTCATTCCTCCGGCCTCCCATTTTGTCTTCTGGGCAATGTGTGTAGCCCTGTCGCGCTTTGGCTGAGGACTGCTCTTAGTACATGGGGGCAGCCAAGAGTCCCTTACTGCACTGCCCTATGAATTAGTTACCATAATAAGTTCTTAAGGCCATGTTTTCCATCCATCCTGTGAACAGGATCAGGGGACCACTTTTTGGTGTTGTATTTCATCTCAAGGGAGGGAATCCTCGTCATTTACTAAACTCTTGTCAGGGAAGCTTGGTCTGTGTGCTTATTCCTCACCTCATTCCTGGTCTCTTTGCTCTCTTTTCTATTGTTGTTGTTGTCTGTTAGTTCCTTTAACATTTTGTTTGTCTGTCCCCCTTTTTCTCTATTCCTTCTCCTTTCTCTTCTTCCTTTTGTTTTGTAACTTTTCATCACTAGCTCTCATGTCTCAGACAATGAGCTCCCAGTCCTGTGTTCACACTAGCTTTAAACAGTGGGTGAAGCCAGAAACCCAGTGTCATTTCTGAATCTGAAGGGTTTGCCTTCATTCTCATTCATGGTGTGATTCAGGCCGTAACAGGCCCCATGCAGTCCATTGTTAATATCTGCCTAATTTAGGAAAGTCTTTGGTAACCGCTGTAAAATCCTTATTTTCATGAGAATTAGCTTGCATCTGCCGTGAGTCAGAATAGCTGGGCTTTCCCACCATTTTTGCCAGCTGTGTTTTCTCTCATTAATCCAGTTTCAAGTTAAAACTGCTTATGACTGGAAAAATATGGGTGAGTTTTTGGTAGGTCTTGCACTGATCTTTCTGTTGCCCACTAGGTGGAAGTATTGCTCTTTCCACTGTGACTTGGTGGCAGCTGTGGTGCAGTTTACCTGAATGAAACTGAGTATATTCTCATGACCAGTTATGTTTGCCTGCTTCATAAAGCATCACCTTACGTATTGCAGCACATGATACATATCCATTAATTTACTTCAAGTGTCTCAGAGGTGGAAGGTATATGAAGTCACAGTCAACACACCCTTAGGTGTCAGACTAGTACCCCAGCTGTTCCAGATGTAAGAATTGTTGTCCTTTCTTTTCCAAATACTATTTCTTGGAGATTCAGAGCTGTTTACTTTATTCTCAGGCGGTAACTGGACAAATATGTGATCTGTCCAAGCATAATATTTTCACACTAAAAAATACCTCAAATCATAGAAGGCTCTGGATCAACAATATCTTGCCATTCCAGAGCCTGCCTGTGTGTTTTCCCCTTTTGGAATGTGGTGAGAAAGGTTTAAGTTAGAGACTTATGGCCTCAGATATCAAATGCTACTTTTCTACATTGTTTTATTTTTTAAATTAAAACCAAAGCTATATATCTTTGCAGAGTAGGTAAAAAAATGTAATACAGCAACCTTTCTCCTTACTCCAATACAGCTATAATTGTGATAATGAGAAGAAAAAAAGAAGGAAAGAAAGCCAGTGGGAAACTTTACAGTTGCATTAACATCAGCAAAATTTAAAAACAACAACAACATCCCCTCCTCCTCCTCCTCCTTGTCCTCCACTATTGTGACTGCTTTAGCTTAACAGGTGTTAGCACCCATGGGAGCACAACTGTAGACAAGCCTCTGGAATCCAGACCTATTTTTAATTAAACCTGTTTTGAGAAATCGAACAGAGATGGCTGTAAAAAGGAGTCTGACCTTGTCAACATTAGGACTAACACCTATTTAGCTTTTTGAATGATGGCACTGTCGGGAACATTTTTGCAAATGCTTTCTCCTCAGACCCTGTTTAGAGTGTCCTGTACATTCGCAGTAATTAACCTATTTGAGCAGTTTTCTTTTGAATTCAGAGGAAACTTGGATGCTCCATGTGCAGTGTCATTCCTGAGTGGATTTCTGAAGTTGCTTTCTGGGCTGTTTTGCTATACATTTTAACATCAGACGTTACCACTGCAATAGTAGGAGAATTGTTCAAATGCACTGTGTTATTAAACTTAGCTGCATTTGCTGCTACTGCTGGACTGAATCCCGTGCTGTTGGGAGTCCAACTTTTTTTTTATTTAATGATACTATAAACATCACTTTTCTGCTAATTCTGAAGGACAGTAGTAAGTGCTTCAATTATCTAAATAATCAGAAGATCGCACAGTTGTTTACGTGATCAGTGTTTGCTGCATCATTTCTGCACAGTAATATCTGTGCTGACCTGCCATTTCTAAACTTCTCAAGGGACGCAAAGGTCAGAGAAGTATAAATGAGTTTGTGCCGGATAATCCTTCCAGCAATTTCGTGACATGAGGCTCAGCAGTGGAAAGACTAACACTTGACTTCATAGGCCCAATTATGATCACTTAACCTCTCATTAAAAAAATGAATGGAGGCAATTTGTATCACTCCATGTGATAACTCCTTAAACAGACTCTGAGAAGAAGGTGTGTTTTCACCCTTTCTAATGACAAAGGCTTGAAATCTAAAGGGAAATCTAAAGTGCTTAGGTCACTATTTATTGTGAAGGATGTTACTAGCATTTAACAAACGAATTGTCATGAGGCCTTGTATGTTTGGGCAATGCTGAATTGAGGATTAGAGTTTTGCAGGACAAGAAGTTTAATGCCTCCCGTTTCTGTTATCTGAACACTGGACCACACATCTCACTTGTACATAACCTTAGAATTTGTAGGAAAAAGAGAGATCTCTGTAAAGACCCTAAATTGAGAATAGCAGTGCATAAAATCATCATATTGCCTTTATTTTTTTCTAGGTGTTTCAATACTGCCTCTTTGACTTGCTTTGTTTGGGTTTTTGTTCTTTTTTTTAGCATTGTAAGGCCTCACTTACATATAAGAGCTTGTGGTGGCAGAGCTTATCCTGACAGAATATCACTGCATCACCTCACATTGGTGAAAAAGTTCTTTTGCTGGCAGTGCAGCACCCAATTCCAAGACAGACTAAATTATCCGAACAAAAATTCTTTTTTTTCGGGTGCCTGTCCTTTTATACAGGATTTTCTCTTAGCACAGCTGGATTGGGTAGAAAGGTGTTCTTATTTTCTCCCCCTTTCTCTGTACTTCTAACTAAGGTAATTATGCTGGCAGAAGTTCTAAAGTTTTGAAGTCCTAACCTTTTGAGAGATTACTTCAGCTTATGTGAGTTTCAATAATTAAGCAATTAAAAGGATGACTGCGGATAAAGAGCTTGCAAAAGGTAAGACTGTAAACAAATGCAAGGTTTTCGAGTAAGCCAGAATTTTGCTTTCTGGTTGAATGTGCCAGCATTTTGTGTTCCAGCAGTTTGCAAACCAGATAAACCCTGATGAACTCAGTAAACATTGTTTGCTTTATTCCAGTGAGGATTTCATTCTGAGGATGCGTTTATCATATGGTTGTCAAATGGTTGTTGTTATTATAGAAGGGAAAACTTTTACAAAGAAGAAGTGTAAGAAAAAGCAGCACTGTGTAAAGAAGCGCCAACCCTTCTGTTCCTTCGGTAGGCATTTATTTTTGAGGAGGTGGCATATGAGCTTGAACCTCAGTAGCCTCTGGCATCTTGTGGAAGATGCACTGAGTATAAATATGCCTGGACAGACTCACAATCCTTTATGTAAGTCGATGCCTTTTGGTATTTTTGAAATTTTGAAATACCCAAGATGCAGGCATCTTCTGAAAACTAGCTACTGAGCATGCACAACAGCTATTTTTCATACAGCTTTCATCACTCTAGAGCCTTACAGTGCAGTATTACTGCAGAGTATTGTTACTTAAGATTTATCAACCTTCAGTTCTCAGGGTGTAATGTCTTGGCTGTTTCGAATCGTGTTTGGCTGCCAGCCAAAATCAGAATTTCTTCACAAAACAAGAGCTGGAAAGAGCCAACGTGTCTCTGCTGATTTTGATTTATTAAAAGACTCCAGATACAGATTGACATTTTCAGCTCAATATTTGACTTTCACCAGCCTTGAAATGGGAACTCTGAGCACTTTGATAAACAGCTTAAAGGTTTGTCTTGTTTTTGCTACAGCCTCTGTGTGTATCTTTTTTGTTTTCTTCCCTCTTTTCAAAATAATAACTGTTTTGCAATGCTTAGTGAATTACCGTGGATGTTGTTAGTATGCTTTAGGGACAGCTTTCCTTCATTCTCCAGTGAGGGAAATGCATTGGTCCTGGAAGCATACCAGAATGAAAGTGCTGCATAACAAGAACAGTCCCTTACTACACTGTTACCAATATAAATAGTTCTCAGATTTTCAGTGTAGGTGGTATGCCTACCATGTTAGCCTGAATTGTTTTCTGACTTGTTTGACTAAAATGGCTTCCTCTCCAGGGCAGACGAGTCTTCAGTATCGGCCCTGTCTGTTCTATAGGTACCACAGGGCTGAGTGACACTGTGTTAAAACACAGTAATTTTTGTAATATAAAACAGCAAATGCTTCAGTGTGCTAAATTCTTGGGCAGTGCTTGGCCTCAAGGGTGCTTGTTGCTGGTCCAGCTAAAGGAAGAGTTTCAGTAGGCTGCAGCTTTGGGATTGCTCAAGGACACTGAAGGGATTGCTCAAGGCCAGTTTCTGTGCCGTCAAATGGAACTATGCTTTAGTTGTCATAGGACAGCTATTAAAAACATACCTGTTGGTAATTTAAAGGTACAAAAGAGTTGAAACCCCAAAGTGTACACCAGTGGAAAGGAAAACCTTGATATGTTCCAGTTGAGCTTGTCCAGGCTGGAATCAAGCTATGTACACAGCAGCTTCTTTGTTGTTTTTGTAGTATGGTCAGGCTCTTAGGAAACCCCCAAGAAGTATGCACTACAAAAACAACCGGAGCATTGCTGGGTATGAGTTGGTATTTTGTAGATTCCAGTCTGGATAATCTCATCTGGGGTAAGTCATGTTTTTTCTCTCCAAAGCGTATGCTTGAGGTTTAGATTTTTTTCACACCTGTTATTTACCGTGTTGAATATATATGATTAAATGAAACATAGCATACATTCAGATGGGTCAGGGACGTTTCTGTTGGATTTAATTATGTTGTATTTCTGATCTCAAAATGCAGGGTAGGTAGCTGTGTTGTGGAGGGCTCCTTTCATCTCCTTTGTGGAACCATTTCATAACTGGGCCTCTTGTTTGGTTATATTTACTGCACAAATATAAAGAATGGCTGATCTAAAAAAAAACAAACCCACCTGTTTTCATCTGAAGCAATGGGTTTTCTTGAGAATTCTGTGTGCAACATGCTGCCAAAGAAATTAATGTATGATAACTTTGTAATTATTTTGGAGAGTAATTTTAGAGTTATGAGTGATCAGTTACAAGTTTTATTATGCAAGGTCCCATACAGAATGGAAGGGCCAATATTGTTGAATTTAATGAAGTTGTGCTTACCATTAAAAAGCAAGTAGGTAATGTTAATGGGATAGTACATTTCCACAGAATAATGGTTTCCTGCTGTTAGATAAAAGCCAGAGACCAAGCAAATGTTTATCTTCCAAGTGGGAGACATAGATCTGATGATGATGTTTCACTAAATGACTTGTCTCTTAGGCAGAATGACTGATGCAGATGTAATCACTTTAATCTCATTAGTGATATATTAGGCATATTGTTCCCACTGTAATTGTTTTACACTAGTCTTTATGTCTGTTGATAAGAAACCTCTGATATCTGTTATTCTGTATTCCCACATCAAAACCCTACAATAACAGCTGCTAGGAATGTTCTGTCTTATCCTTAGCTAAGATCTAAACAAATACAACCACTATTCATATTCTGAGTGTTAACGAATGCCTGCTCCACCGTGTATTTTCCCAGTGGTGTTACTATAACAAAATCAGTTATTTTGCTCATCTTGCTTTTACTGTATGACTCACACAACATCTCTGAGCTGGTTCAAAGTCGTTGAAAAGGTGTCCATCTCCTGATCATTCATCTGTAAAAAAAAAAGATGTCAGTGTCTTAAGTAGTGCACAAAAGAGGAGAGGCTGGAAGATAGCTCTGGGGGGAAGGGATATACGAGTATCTTGGGGAGATGGGTTGAAAGACATCCTGGGAGGTTATAAGATACCGTTTTGCACTAGCTGAAACTTCAGGGTGGTCTTTCATTATAAGTGTATGCATCATAGCTATTGCAGAAAGGCTGAAATGTCTCTCTGACCATTTGTTTTTTCTTTAGGGCCAAGGACAAACCTTTCAGTTTCCCAACCTATTTCCCGAGAAAGAACAAGATACAGAAACTCGCTCTTTTGATGACTTCAGGAGTAAATATGTGGAGAAAGAGAAGCAGAAGCAGGAAGGTGACCCCAGACGAGGTGGAGTCCCTGATTGGTTTGGACTTTGATGCAACAAACCAGCTGCCTTCCTTTAGGCTCAGAGGGAATTTGATTAGCACAATGTGCACTCTTCCCTCCTTGTAGTGACTGAATGTTTATTCTTGAGCAGTCCTTGTTAGCGGGTCTTTTTTCCTGGCTGTGTATGCATGACTACAACAAATTGGCCGTGAAGAAATAAAAAGGTAAAATAAATCTGACTACATCAGGACTTTCCTGTGAACTTGTGGGCTATTTCTAAAGTGTGGAATTCCTTGTTGTCATTTCTGACTGTGAGAGTATCATTGTGTTTACCTTTTTCGTGCTTCTACAGGTTGTTCTGGGTAGAAATAGGAGGCATTTCATTTCCTAGGATACGTGCAGTTTGCACTGAATAGAACGTATAAAAGTCAAGACAGGTTTGTCAGACGTAAACATGAAAGTGTAGATAACTGGACTATAGGCTCAGGACATAGGGTTCCCTTATTGTTAGTTGTTGTGTCCTACTATCCTGTGTATTGCCTTCCTTGCAGCGATCCCTTCTTTCCTAGAGAGGTGTCTGTGATCTTCTTGCAATCCTGTAACAGTTGTGTGGCATTTTGGGGCCAGGGTTTATAGGATAGGCTTATGATTGGGCATGTATGTGTTAGATCCCCAGAAGCATCAAGGAACGGACAAAGGTGGTGCATGTCTCTACTTGCTCTTGTGCAGTGCAGTAGTTACCTTCTGTGGCTGCCTGCCCTAGGAATGTTTACGGGATTGGTTGTGCTGGTATTCCTTCCCCTATCCGCAGCTACCTTGCAGTGCTGGCAGGTGTCCTATGTGGACACAGTTGTATTGGCATAGAAAAGCTTCTGCCAGTGTAGGGTGTTTTGTGCTGAGGACTAATAAAAAGACTCTTTTTGCTTTTTCTGCTCTAACTCCCTCTACTCCCAAGTTGCTGATGCCAGGGCAATGGTAGAACTTTTCAAGGCCTTCAGGGCTGCCACGTTCAGTTTTTTCATTTCTTGGCTCTGTGGCTCTTTCTCCTCGATCCATTGAAGATATTTTCTCTTTTCCTTTGTCAAGTAATGTGCTCTGCTGTTGTGTCAGAAACAATGGGGAAAAAAGGCAGGCTAGGGAGGGTTTCATCACAGTTCGAGAAGGATATTTCTGCAGACCATTTGCTACAACACAGCATACGCAGGGTTAAATGTATAGCTAATGTTTCTCTGGCTTTTGAATTCTGCCACTTGGAGCAATTGGCAGGGTAGTGAATGAGCCCATGCCTTCAGTGCTTCTACCCGGGTGCTCTCCTTTATTGTTCTGTGTCTGAACTTCTTGTTTGGACAGCTAGCAAGATGTTTACAAGGAAACAGCTGTTCTCCAGAGAGGCAATCCAAGTAGGATTTTACGCACCCCCTTCTGTTCATTAGTCACCTCTTTCCCCCTGCTACTTCCCTCCTGCACGACAGTCCATCTTCTGTGGTTTGTTGCTTACAACCCCAGCGACTCTCCCACCCTCCTCTTTGTCCACTTTCCAAGGGGGAATCCAAGGGGGGGGATCGTGTATGATCTAAGTTAGCCAGTGTTTAAACAGAGAGATGCTCTCAGAGAGGAGGGAGATAAGGGAGGATTTGCTACTCCCAGCATGCCAGCAGAGTTACGATAGTAGATGTGGAAAAATACTGACTTCACTGAGAACAGTTCATATGTTTGGCATATCTGCAAAGGCGACACTTCCAGAGTTTTGCAGTGACGTGAAACTACAGGTTAAGCCAGGAGCTGGCCTGCAGTTTTAAAGTAGGATGGCTGAATTTGTCTGGGCCCAAGGATCTCTCCTCTGCTGCACACAGCCTCCCACTCCCCCTCTCCTTTTTTTGATATATTTTTTTAAAGGGGCTGTTTCTCAAACTCACAGATCAGCATGGAGATGATCTGTATTGGGACTGAGACTTTGTTCCTACAATATAATGTTACAGAGTTTGCTATTTTTTTCTCCGCTTTCCTTTGTGGTTGCCTCCAATATAGATAACTCTGTCTTTTTCACCATGGTGAAGGTAAAAAGAACTGATCTAGTGCTGCCAGATGTCTTCCTAACTGGTTGGTCAGCCTTGAGCAAGCAAACAGTCAGGTATGTGATAGTTCTGGATAAACGAGGCTGTATTCCATGTACTAGGTGTAACCATCAGCCCCTCTGTAAATGGTCCTCAGGAGACATTGGAGTCTCCAGCTTCTGTACTGGCATTAAGGACCCAAGCTGAGTGGAATTTATTTGCTCTAGGCTGAGCGAGTATCAAAAGTCCCTGTGTAGGTTTACCATGCTTTGCTATTCTGTGATTTCTCCATGCGTGATAAATTTCTAGCTCATGTTCAAGGCAGGTTTCTTTGCAGAAGGGCATAAAAGGGAAGAAACAGAGATACAGGCAGATACTCAAGCTGTTTAAGAGAGCAGTCATGGAATCACAGAAGGGTTTGAGTTGGAAGGTACCTAAAAGAGCACCTGGTTCTAACCGCTGTCATGGGCAGAGACACTTTCCTCAAAGTTACCAACTACCTCTAAAACAGTGTTCATGTGAAATTATGGTAAGATTTTAAAAAAAAAGAAAAATCAAGTCCCTTACCCAACATTATTTTGCTTAAATGCTCCTGATTGCCATGGCAGTGGGATTAAGAAGATCCCAAGTCTTTCCCAGTCCCTTGTTGATCAGTATTTTTGAGGAAGTGCCAGTGATTATTATGATCTCATGTCTTCAGTGCCTCACAAATCCCATTCCCCAAGCTGTACAGGTGGACTAAAAGATAACAGAGATGATACTTTATTATGAAGGCAGAGATTGTGTCATGTACCAGAGAGAAGTACAGCAAAGGAGTTGTGAAACTAGGACAGTTTTTTCTGAATTTTGTTCAATATACTGTGCTCCTTCCAGCACATCTTGATGTTTGTTTTGGGTGAGGTAAGGGGTCAGCAGATCCTATGAAGTCACATCTAGCCCTGCTGTCTGAGGTGTCGAGCTGTCCTTGGCTATGTCAGCGGCTGTACCTGTGGGCCAAGGATATGGATATACACACAAATAACTTCTCCAAGGAGCAAAGTAATGACTTGGTTGAAGAGACTGATGTTCGCTGTGGTGCAGGAGAAGCCACGTCCTGCACTTGGCGTGTGCAGCTCTGCAGCTGCTGGTTTCTCTGACGTTCAGGGGAGATGCTGAACGCAATTTCTTCCCCCTCTGAACGTGTGCAACCCCCCAAAGAGAGGAACGTGCTGGAACAGTTGGATGTGCAGTTGACTCTGTTGGCCACTCTGGTGGAGAAAGGCATCTGGCTGTGATGAATGCTATCCCAGCAGTACCATCCAGCTATGATGAGTGCTGTCCCAGCAATACCAGAACACTTCAGAGGCAACACACAATTGCTTTTTTGTTTTGATTGTATTTTTTTTATTTTATTAGAAACAAACAAAAAATGAATTGCAGAGACAGTGAGGTGACTATCCAAGTGACTCTCCTAACATTACAGTTTTGAAATGAGTTTTGTGCTGTAGATCATGCTCAGTTGGGTGCTAGGGACAGGTTCCTGCAGGTAAGAAAATCATTGTGTCTTTTCACCACTTGTCACCTGAGCCTTGCTATGTGACCTCAAGAGGGTGCAGCACAGCTGGTAAGTGATTAGACACAAAGCTGTGGTAGCTTTATCTACGGTGTGTTACCCAAACTATAGAATCATAGAATGGTTTGGGTTGGAAGGGACCTTCAAAAATCATCTAGTCCAACTCCCCTGCAATTAGCAGGGACATCTTCAACTAGATAAACTTGCTCAGAGCCCCATCCAACCTGACCTTGAATGTTTCTAGTGATGGGGCATCCACCACCTCTCTGGGAGACCTATTCCAGTGTTTAACCTTCTGCATTGTAAAAACCTTCTTCCTTATATCTAATCTACATCGACCCTCTTTTAGTTTGAAACCATTATCCCTTGTCCTACTGCAGCAGACTCTGCTACAAACTCTGTCCCCATCTTTCTTATAGGCCCCCTTTCAGTGAGGAAAGGCCACATTAGGGTCTTCATGGAGTCTTCTGCAGGCTGAACAACCCTCCTCTCTCAGCCTTTCCTCACAGGAGAGGTGTTCCATCTCTCTAATCATCTTCATGGCCTTCCTCTGGACTCACTCTAACAGGTCCATGTTCTTCCCGTGCTGGGGACCCCAGAGCTGGATGCAGTACTCCAGGTGGAGTCTCCTTTGACCTACTGGCCACGCTGCTTTTGATGCAGCCCAGGACACATTTGGCTTTCTGGGCTACATGTGCACATTGCTGGTTCATCCACAAGCACCCCTAAGTCCTTCTCCACAGGGCTGCTCTCAATCCCTTCATCCTCTAGCTTGTACTAACACTATCCAACTGAGGGTTGCACTTGGCCTTGCTGAATCTCATGAGGTTCTCATGGGGCCCACTTCTTGAGCTTGTCTAGGTCCCTCTGAATGGCATCCCATCCCTTAGGTGTGTCAACTGCATCTCTTAGCCTGGTGGTGTCTGCAAACTTGCTGTGGGTTCACTTGATCCCGCTTTTTATCTCACTGATGAAGGTGTCAAACCAAACTGGTCCCAATATGGACCCCTGAGGGACACCATCATATTACAGGTTAAGTGTAACCTGCAACATCAGTGGCCAGGTTTACAGTCCTGTCCATCATTCCCTGTTTGTCAGGCTACTGGTGGTTAAAAGAGAAAAGGCTGAATTACAGGAAAGAAGTACAACCTTGTGATCAATTCCAGAAAAGGTATATACTAAACTATTTAACAAATATCCTTGTTCTGGGCAAAGGAAAGTCAAGGTACAGGGAGGGTAGGTGGCTGAATATGCCTAAGAATGGGTAAACAGAATTTCTGATGTCTACTCCCTTACTGGGCCTCTCCAAATTACACATCAGGTGACAGAAAGATGTATTCACTGATTTGATCCACTGCTGACCCACTGTCATTAGCAGTGCTGAATGAATGAATGAAGCAGTAGGAAAATTTTGCTTACTTTATCCAATGCTATCTTGCTGTGGAAAATGTCTTCATGGTTGGGGAATTCCTGCTCCATCCAGGTTATCCCAATTACATCAAAGGTGGGTGTTTATTTCAGGAAAACTATTTTACTAAATTTGAATTTTCAGGTTGTAGGACAGACTATTGCTTCTTCAGCTCCGGTGTGTTTGTGGAACGGCTTTTAGAGAGTGGTAAGGGTTGGATAGAGGACGTATACTTA